ACGCGGTGGTTATTAATCGCCATCACGTGGCCGCCGACGGTATTTTGGACACGCAGTGTGTGGTGTGACCAATTAAGTGTTCCTATAATCCTATGACGATGATGATGATCATTATAATAATAATAATAATAATAATAATAAATAATATACTCATTCATCGTAGGATATATTCCACTCTCCGGCAACGGTGTCGGTCTGTTATTTTTGTTTTGATAAAACGCTCTCGAATGTTCATACTATACATCACACTTTTACATAAACAAACCTAATATACATATGCGTTGTGTGAGTTATCCAGGACACTTCTTTCCTGTGCCACTCATAAATCCATCCTCGGATGAGACTCGAACGCTGCTGCAGTTTCCCGCAGTAACCGTACCGTGCTGACACACTTCCGGTTTGAAGCCTCCTGCTCTCGTGTGGCATCTTATTCATGGTTTATTACTTAATTATATAATATTATTATAATAATATAAAGAACTTGCACACTCTTATGTAAATAAAATATATCATAGCTATCGACCGTTGTGACGTTCCCGAATCGTAACGGTTGTTTGATCTGAAAATCCCTAAACAGTGAACGGATCTATTTAGTGTTTAACGTCGGGGGTATAAGACTCGAGCAGACATCAAGCATGTGTGTAATAATTAACATCACAAATTCCAAACTCAATCTGACGGAGAAAATTTGTGAAAAAAGGAAGTCGGTTACTCATTACGAACGATTTCGGCAATAACTTGAAACGTTTTTGATGGTTCGGCAACGTTTGGGATTTTTAGGAGCCCCGAATTCAACCAAGCGCCATATTATATATTATTACTTTTAATAATCGCTGTCATAGGGGTAGAATGGTAGATATGAAGCTTATTTTAGAAGGGATGGATAAGGCCATAGGGATATTAATGAGTGATAATGTGATAAATATTTATTATTTATATAATGGTGATGGAATGGAGACATGCCCGTAATTATGTAATTTGGTGAAAACATTTCTTGACAATAATAATATCATTAAATTATTCTTATAATGAAAATTATTTTTATAGTTTAACTCCTTGACCACATGGAAGAATACTGGAAGGAAAATCGATTGATTAACAGAACTAAAACTGATATAAAGGGCAGGTGGTTTTGTCTTTACCTAACACAAATTTATCGTAGTTTTCCTGACATCAACTTTCCCACATTTTGATTTATTCTTCAAAAATGTAAAAACTAAATTTTATACTTCCACATTTCATGATTTAGGGGAATTAAATAATTAAATAATTAATATTAAATAAATCTGTTAAAAAAGTCCAATGAGCATGATCGCCAAGCCCCCTCTCAAAAACCACCCCTTTGTTGGAATCGCACTATGACAAATATATCACCATACAAATTACAGTTTAGGTGCTGCACTCTATTGACTAAATTAATGTTTTTAGAGCATTATTGAGAGTGATATTTGACGTAAAAATTCTACTTTATTGAATTCATATATATATTATAATATGCATTAAAGAGTATAAAATACACTGATTTTATCCCAGTATCAGACCTAACCTAACCTATCATATAGGATCAATAAAATATAGATATACGTGTTATTCAACTCTAATTATTTAATTCAGTGCATCTTGTTTTATACTGTTGTGTTAAAATGAAACAATAAATTATAAATGTCAAGTCAGTGAATTAGATATTTTCATTCCACTGCACCATCATTATACCAAAAGTTGTCCATTATAGTCACAATAACTCAAAAAAACTTCTATTTCTTATCACAAAATTAGTCCTAGTTAGTTTCAATCTTCCATCGACCCATAATAATTACATTATTTCAGATCTTCCATTTGATACGGGCACTTGTTTGTAATTTAAGTAGTTAATTTTCTGTGTATAATTATATATTTTTTCTTAGTTATAACATAAGCACTCATTACTACTGTATTATTATGTACAACCAATCGGTGTAAATGCAAAAATTCTAGTCGACTTTGTAACTCAAAGTGCCATAATAGTTGTGTATGTGATAATAATTAATAAAGTAATATAATGCTATCCTATGTGCCCAACATTACTTTTTAGTAATAATTAATTTAAATATAACTATGAACTGTAATTAACTGTAGTTCAATAATAATCAATAATATTCATCAATCATCTTAGTCAACTACTGCAAGTGGTGACGAGGAGACCCCAGAGTCCAAGCTTAAAGAACACAATCCGATTCTAGGAGACTCAGACAGAAAGGAGTTCGACGAAAACGTCATTGAATCTATCTCCTTGCACAGTGATGGATTGCCGGATATGTGCTGTCCTCTGCAGCAGAGTCGGAGCTTGCTCCGATCCCAGAGGCAGCACCACTCAGCAACACCACGGTCCAGGAAGACGACAGTTCGGAAATTGGAGAAGCAGACTCGCCGCGGACTCACCGTCCTCGGAGTCGGGGCCTGTCGATCCCACTCCCCGACTCTCGAGGGCGGACCGCTCGACGACGTTTTGCTTTCAGAAGACGTGTTGGATAAGAACATTGAGAGGTTTAGCTGTAAAGAATAGTTTAGGTGAGCTAGTCGGTTGGCTGAACCCGGCAGCAGCACCCGGAAAATGCGATCCCCCTAGTACGAGGCTCTGTGCTGCTGCCGATGAGAAACCGTCCACAGCTCACCTCTTGGCCGAAGACGACGGACAGTATGACGGAGACGCACAGGAAGGGAGTATGCGAGAAAGAGCTCGGACGGTAAGGTTAAGTTAGGCACGTCCTCCGACCACCCACGGCGTTGACGAGCGAGACCCTCTAGCGGCTCGGCGAGCGCCAGGCTGCAAGTTACAATCACGTGGAAATTTAACGGTTTCAGGGTCTGGTCCACCATCGTGGCAGCGGAACGAAGAAGCTGCCGAAGGGACAACGTCAGGGCGAAAATTACAGAGAATTTTCGACTTTTCGCCTTTTCGCAACGCGGTAATCGCACATCGGACGCTTCATTCGTCCCCACCGGTTCCGCAGCACAAAATTCCACTCTGCTTCTTGGTCTTCGCCGTCCATTGATAGAGTTGTCGAGACGTCGACCGTTGACGAGCCCGACATCGCGCACTAGACGCCGCTCGTCGCTGTCAACCGTGGTTGCACCCTCAGCCGTCCCAGTCTGGCCTCGCCAGCTGGGCAAGGTCGTCAAGCGTCCGAGCAAACGCGCCAGCGACACTCGTCAACCTGCTGGACAGGTCGTTAGAACGTGCAGAGGTTTCCAACAACACTGCATATCCGCAACAATTCACCATCTCGCATCCTCCCCCCCTTGTTTATTGTGTCTCCTGTCCGACGTATTTTTTTTTTCCTTAAATTTACTTAAATAATTATCTCGAATTGTCAAATTGTTCACATATTGTAAATTTTGATTTTTTTTTCTTATTCTCCCTTTTATTATTATGAACATAATAATAATTATATATATAATATATATATATTATAATATTGATATAGCAAATGTGCTAATTTTTTTCATACAAAATATACTGTTTCCTTTTTGAAAATTATTGTTCATACCTTTTCGTATTATTTTTGTTTTTGTAATTTGTTAATAGACATATTTTGTGAACATAAAAAAATATTGTTTCTTTTTTTCGTTTGTCGAGTGTATAATCAATTATATAATATATAATTTAAATAAAAAAACTCGTTAGTCGATTATACAAAGTATAATATGGCTTACAGACCAGTATATAAACGCTACACGGATATTATAATATGTACCAAGAAATATTTAAGCTATCAAACAAAAAGCGACGAAAACTGCTGAATATATCCTAAAATAACGCATTACGCCGTCGGATGCGACATGGGCAGTTAGATAAACTATACGAGGATTCTAAATAATAAATAATAATATGTATTGAGTAGAACGTGTGAACGTCAATGTAGTCGAATAGTTAATACAATATAATATAAAAATAATTATATGATATAATAGCTGCATGCCGAAAAATACTATTGTTTGAAAACATTTCGGTTGAGGTTTGAACCCTTAAGCCCCCAGGTATACGTACATGTACCGACCATCATATGTTCTACATAGTTATTGACTTGAGTTGTAATATCCTAATCTGAACAAAACTTGTAACAGGTCTATCTAACCTATCTTTTGTACTAGGAAATCACTTTTTGACGAATAGTGAGTTTTTACAGTTGTACAATAATATAATTATAGGCATAACCGCACAATAGGTGATTCGACCTTTATCGATAGTGAACAATTTAATCAACTTTTGTAGCACGTATATAACATAAATACAAAATAATATGAATATAGTGTCTACGCAAAGTGTCAATAATAATAATAATAATATAATTGTGTCTTATTATCATTCATTAAGTATTCTTAATGGTATATTTGAATGTTTAGTGAAACTAAGATTTAATTTATACCCCAATGAGTTTCTTGACCACATGAAACCAGTTTTGACTAACAATATATGAGTGTCCTCCATAACCTTAGAGAAAATGAAACTCCTTGTAATCACAAAATGAATTAGTTAGGTTAAGGAATAGTTAATTAGTATTAGTTATGTATAAATATGCACAAAAAAAATATATTGTAAAACACAAAGGTAACATGTTTTCTGCTTACAGAATATTATAGCTTATTATGATTATATTCTAATAATAAGTAATGCCAAAGCAATATATTCATAAAATATATTATAATATTGATATAATTATTAAATAACATTTTCAATTTGATCAGTAATTTTTAAACTTCTATGACATCAACTAATATATTGTCAGTTAATAGCGATAACGATAACAAAATATACAATTATTTAATTATTATAAATATAATTTAGGATATCAACAGGTATATATGATACAAAAAACGTATTTTTTATATGGGCCATATGATACTTTTAAATTACATATTTATTTAATTATTTATTTATAATATTATAGCTATCGATGTAATAAATGTAGTTTATTGTACCTATACTTCAATAATTTAATAATATTATGATAGAACTTAAATTATTCTAACTTAGGTTTGATAGGTTGTGAATATTGTAAAAAGTAGTAATAAATAACTTTAAAAAGGTTGTAAGTAATGAAAATAGCAAAGGAAATAAAAAATAATACAACAAAAATAACATCCAATAAAAAGTATTGATACCACGTCAAATTAAATGCTTGAGATTTTAAATGTGGTGCACCTTTATGTCGAATTACGTACTCTGTCCAGTAAACAACTGATTCTGCTGGTGACATCGGTCGGTCTTTAAATCTATCAGAAACTATTTTAGCATTTTGCATGTATCTATAATAAAATAATATTTTAATACGATTAATTTGGTATTTAATGTTTTATCAAGTGCTAACATACTTTTCATTATTAATGAGTTCTAAAATATTTTTTATCAATTCATCTTTTTGTAATGTTAACAGATCCATAGAAATCCCCATTCCTGCTTCAACTAAGTTATCAATATTCCTAGGTTGATCGTAGAAGAGAGGGAATCCAAGAACAGGAACGCCTGCGTCTACAGCTTCGTATACACCAAATATACCTCCGTGACTAATGAATAATTTTACATTTGGATGCACTAGAAAATAAAGTTATAATTACTATATTATAATTATATTTTAATAAAAAATATCTTACTGAGTATATCACGCTGAGGAAACCATTTACTTGTCATTACATTTATTGGTTTATCTTTCATTTCTCCTTCGTATTTCCATAATACCCTTTGAGGTACTTGTGCTAAAGCTTCTTTAAATGCGTTCTGAATATGGTCTGGTAAAGTTGACATTGATACGACTGAGCCAAACGTAAAATAAATTACTCCATGTGGTGAGTTCTCAATGAACTCCAGTATATCCTTAAATTAATATTTCAAAAAAGAGGTCAATTTTATAATAGTAATATATCATATAAATCAACAATAATATATAATATTATAAATTTTATTATTATTATCATTCCATGTTTATATTTAAATGATATAATTTTAAATAATAATTTATAAAAGTTAGATAGGTATTAGGTCCTTACATAAAACCATAACTTTCATTAATTAAGTATTTTTTTTAACATATGGTATATACGATTTTGGGCAGATTACAGATATTTTATTTTTCTAACAAATTTTTTCCAACAAGAAGTCTTAAGTTTTCATTGTCATGGTTACTTATTAATAAAAACATATTAATGAATAATAGAGGAAAAATATTGAGTAGAGTGCTATGGTTTCTTTTTTAAATAATTGTTAATTATGTATAGAACTAGCCAACCCGTCACAGCTTCGCCTGATTGGTTGTTTATTTTGCCTCCGGACGATATGTTTAATTTTTTATTCAAGTTTTATCGTTTAATTTAAGCGGCAAGTAAATATAAAAAATAGAGAATGAAAAGTTTCTAGCGGTATAATTAATGATAAATATATATTTATTAGAAATAACTGATCCTGTGCACTTCGTTGCCCATTAAATGTACCAACTCTATATGACTCAAACTTTGTTCAATTTGTTATTTTATATTCGGTGTATGGTGTTCAAAACTTATCTTAAATTTTCCGTTGCCCAGAATAAAAATGTTGATTTGCAGCAGCATATTATCAGGTAGGCCAGGTATGCGCGTAGAGGCTACCGTCGGGCGGAGTGGGGGGGACCCATTAAACGAGTAATTATTTTTGACGAAGCATAACTTAGCCGGTATTCGACTTAGAGACCCCGGACCAATGGGCATCTCAATTTTTTAGGCCCCAGATGAATTTTCAACACTAGGGAACCAAAGCCCCCGCCCCCCTACATTTTGAGTTGAGTGTAACTCGGCCGGAATTCAAGTTAAAGACCTCGGACCAAGGGACCATTCTTATTATGAAGATTACCGTTTTCCGCTTTAGGGAACGGGAGCACCTCCTCCCCACCTTTTGGATTTTGCATTTTTAATGGATTTTGGTCCGGGAGAGTACTAACACCCACCTCACCAAGGGGAAACTCGGGGTTTTGAGTTTTTGATAGGATTTATTGGGATTTTCTTAAATATTGTTTTTATTGATAAGGAAAGTGATAAGAATTTTATTTTCAAAATAATTTTTGCCCCTTATATTTATAAATTTATAAATTCCATTGTGATTTCCATTTACCTCCTTCTCTATATACATACAAATCTATTAAACAAATGAAATTAAAATTTACTTTTGAAAAATGCTACCATTCCTTCAGTATTTTCTTAACACGTTGTCACGTTCAATTATCGTCAGTAAACCGACTTTACAGACAACCGATTTTTTTCTGTAGGTTTAATAAGGGCCAATGATACATGGTAATAAGAGTCTTTATATTTGTACCTAATTGTCTTTTATTATTCATTTTAAAGAAACTGTGCATCAAAATAATAATATAATAATATAATAAAAATAAGATACTTTATGGTGAAAAGTTTCAAATCTATGAATAATATGTTTTGAATTACATATTTGGTAAAAATATCAAGTACCTTAAAATCTCTAAATAGCGAATACCTCCAAATAGCAGGCGAAATTTTGGTGACCTAGAGTTTCAGGTATTTAGAGGTTTCACTGTACCTATCTTTATAATCTATATACAGTTTTTCGTTATTGCATTACAACAAAATAATAAAATCAATTTTGTATAAAACTTTTAGTTTTCCTATTTTTTTTTTAAATTTTCGAGGTTACACCGGCATCATATCGCAGCAGTGTGCAAGCGCCAATTTAATCCCATACGTATAACTTTTAACTATAGGTACAGCACAAAGAATATTGGCTTGTATACCGTTCACTGGTCCGGTAATATCGTATCAATGTGACCGATGCCATATAAAACTATGAGCTCAATTTTACAGAGACCGTCACCGTATCGGTACCGTACCGTTTACCGCCGCAGTGTGTGTGGACCTTAAACATTAATATTTTAGTTATATAATACTATTAAAACAAACTAAGTCAATATAATTTAGAAGAACAATTTGTTTATTAATTGTTACATGGTTAAAATACGATTACATAGTAATATATATATAATTATCATTATATGTTTACATTTGGAATATTCTGTTCCGGTCACCGGCAGTAGAGTATATAGGGGGGAGAAGGGGAGCAATTTCCCCGGGGCCCCAAGTTCTGAGTCCTCAAAGGCGCGCTGTCGTTAGAGGTTATAACAAAATTATTTTTTTATTTTATTGGATTTGTTGAGAAATTATTTTAGTGATAACTGATAAGTGAATACCTGTATCTTTTTTATAATATCTTTTACATTTCTATACATAATTTCTATATATAATGTATTTTATTAAATTGTCGTAAAAAAAAGGCTAAAACTCTAAAATCTAAATTATAATTTGTTTATTTAATTATAAAGGTTGACTTTTTATTAGGAATAAATGGAATGTTAATGGTAAAATAAAAGTGTTCTCTAAATTAATGGAAGCATAAATGCAATAAGGGGAAAATATACATTTTGGGTTATCAATTATCACTATTAACTGAGAGAAAAAGTAAATTGTAAATTAGAGGGGGTTTGAAAGTTTTTTGTGACAATGAATAAAAGGAAACTGAAAAAAAAGGGGCGCCAAAATGTGTGTACCTAGGGCGCCAAAATCGTAAATACGCCACTAGCCGCCGGGTTCAAATGGATACCACCCAAAGAAACAAAATTTGAAAAAAAAATGTCTCGATGCTTTAGTAATATAATCAGTGCCAGCCGGGTCTAGGCAGCTAGGTGGAGATCACTGCCGGGGCCCCCCTAACCAAAATACATTAAGGCTCAATAAATAATTTGACAACATAAAACATTTTAAGCACAAAAATACATATGAGTTAAAATAGCTAAATTATTAGTAACAGCTGATAGGCAATAGACCAACAAAGAGTGTTTTTCCATGCATATATGATAGTAAGATAAGATATAGAAATATCCACAGTTTAGAAAAATATAGGTTCCTATACAATGTTCCTGCGTTTACCGGTACCACTATAAATTACTAGTCACATATTTTAAATTTTAGAAAATAATATATTAATATGCAGTCCAACCAGACGGGTTCGATAAGTATCACATCGAAATCGGTATGAACGAAGCCTTCCAAAATGTATTTCAATCTTTCGTTTACGTGAATAATATCGCAATAGGATCTCGTTATACCTGGAGTATGGACCGAACCATAGAGTCTTGATTGAATCGCCGAACACATTCATCATGTCCGCCTATCCAGCGGTTCTTTGGTAAATCATCGGACGTATCGATTTCTGTATAGTTTTCGCGATTACCTTTTGTGATTGGTGTAAACACATTGACATGATGTCCTTTATCCATCAACGATCGTAATACCGAGCTGAAAAAGATCCAGTGGCTTTCCCTGCAATCGTTTCTATTGCTAAAATGCTTGCACTTTCCACCGGTTGCAACCGTGGTCCACAAAAAGTTGAAAATATTAAAAAAATGGTCAACAAATATATCGTTCTTATAATGTTTTCCATAATAATAAATACTAACTTCTCAAGACGACACTATTTAGATTGTTTGTTAAAAAACATAAATAAATGAATGTACAAAATAATTAAAATAATAATATGTAATATTCAAACACTGATTTTCAACAGAATAATATTAAAGTTATACCTATATTAAAACCCTAATGTCCGTATGTCAATGTATGTGACTCATAAATTGACTATGCATAAAGACATAAATTCATATAGTATCTAGATAAAATTAAAAATGTTATTTCACTTGTTAACAATAATTTCCAATCCATCGAGAGGCCAACATTTTTAAGCTTCAGTTGTTATATTGAAATATTAACATTAAGTGGGGGGATGCATTGGAAATATACAGTAGAATGCGGCAGGCAGTTATATTTATATTTCTCAGTGGTATATTATAATATCATGTGTACATCTATATTCTATTGAAATGTACTAAAGGTTGCCATTCAACTGTGCCTATTTATGTTTATTGTTTGAACTTAAGTTGATTTGCACAATATTATTGAACTTTGTGTCATGAACGTTGTCAAAGTTTATGGGGCAGGGCGAAACAACAATTTAGATTAATGGAGCTCAAATAAAATCATTATACTTTATTTAGGATCATTTTTCCTTAGTCTGGCACTAATTCCTAGTTGCTTATATTTTAAATCCTATCACACACATAGGTAAAATATGTTCTATTGTACTCGTATAATATACCTACTAGGTATATACTGCTATATAAGTACCTATCTATAATCTTTTCAAGTTAAGAAACGTATCGGCGACAGATTTGTGCGCAGGGGCTTGGCAATAATACCGGCAGGTATACAGATAATTTATTGTGTGTGTATGACAAACGGGTGTTGTCTAACTGTGGCCCGACGAAAACTGGTCGCCAAATACTACATTTCTTAACTTGAACAGAGTAACTATAGGCCCGGAGACTGGTACCTCATTATTTAAAAATGGCCTGAAAAAAAGTGTGCACCAATGACTGAAAAACTAAAATGACACGCCTAAGGTTTATGCCTGACACAATATTAAAAGTTTATTTACTCACATTTGGTATGCTTTTTGGTGTTTTCAGATGTATCCCTCCAACTTGTATTAAACTTGCAGGCATAGAACTTGGTGCATAGGTAATATAATGTGTGTTCATGAACACTAACGTCGGTTTTATAGGTTCTACCAGATCATATGGTTGTGAATCAATTTTTTTCAGTTCCATTTCTTTATATTTTAATGCCAATAAACTAAAACCTAAAAAGACGACGTTTAAAAATCGTTGAGCAAATGTTCTAGGTACCGCGTTATGAGCCATCAGATGGGATACTGTCGCTGGATTTGATCCTTCTCCCAATATAGTATGCTCGATGTGGGTTATCATTGGCGAAGGAATTAAGTATATCAGTGGCAATTTCAGCTTGGAAGCTATATATGATACACATTCCGATGACACTACTTCAGTGAAAATAATATCATAATTTGATTTACCACCGTATAAGATCTCTCGCATATCCTGTTGTTCATAAGCAATATTGCAAAAGGATCGACTCATGTTCATGAGTTCAGGTATCATCACAGTAGGTTTCCCAAATGTGTTCAACGTTTCTTCAACATTAATTTCGACTACCGATGGTATATTTAAGTAGACTTCTGTATAGTTGTCCCGATTGCCATCGAGAAATGGAGTGAACACGGTAACATTATGACCGATGTCCGTCAAAGATCGGAGAACAGCACTCATAAAATTCCAATGACTCTTACCAGCAACATTTTCTATTGCAAGTATTTGCAGTGCATCGATAGATGCATAATATGTCATCGAAACGGTAAGAATACAAAACACTGGTAACATCATCGTACGAAACAACGTGCTCATTATTACGACTACTTCGAAAACACTAAATATTATTATAGAAGTAAATAAGAAGCTTTTTTTTTTTTTTTTTATTTATTTGAAGAAATCTACAATCTATACATGCTTTTTGTACAATAAGTAGGTTTGATATAAGAAAGGTAAAAATATGATATGATTAGTTAGATTAGGGAAGATACCCAGTGGTAACACCCTATGACATGAATAAAAATAAGAAGCTAAAATAAAAATTAAAAATCCACTGAACTATATACATGGAAAGTGCGACTGAAATCTGGTCCAACCATTGATAATAGTTAAGAATTGATAGGACGATAGGCCACGCCTATGCTTTTAACATGAGGGGCCTCGTTCCGAGGTCAGTGCCCGTGGCATTAATTATGTCGTCAATGATGATTAGAGTGAGTGACGTCGTTACGATTGTAATATTGTATGCGGGTACCGGGCTATCTACGCATGCGTGACTTGCTGCATGCATGCACAATAATATAATATGTCCACGACACCTCCGGGCACCGACCAAAAATGAAAATCGTGATTTTTTGCTCAAAACACGCTTAATGGTTGATTCAGTGGCGGTTTTTAGGGGGGGCGAAGAGGGCGCTCACCCCTCTTAGATTTTTTTGCTTGTCCTTTTTTTAATTTAAATTACACTAAATGCTTGAATTGCTTTAATTGTGGTGGGGGGAGGCCCAAAAATTGAAAATAGCCCCCCTTGATATTTTATCAAAACTGCCACTGGGTCCATTTGATTAATTGTTTTTAAGAGGATAATAATTTCAACAGGGTGCATTGGACTTTGAATTTTAATTTTGTGGAACTTTGTTACTTTACCGGACACCCTTTTTTTTTAATCTTTTTTTTTAAACTTATGTAGTTAACTAATAACTATACTAAAACAATGGTGAAATTAGAATTTGGTAGTGGGACTGAGTTTCCAAGTTATGGTCTCATGAAGTTCTCTATAATATTACGATTTTTAAGCATGTCATTCGCGCATCACTCTAATTTACAGGCGCCTTTAAAACCCTTTGACGTAATTTCAGTTTTAAAGAGGAGGGGCCAAATGTTTGACTGACCCATAATAAAACTGAAAAAACCCCACTCACTAACAATTACATTACATTACAATTACAAAACACTAAAACAAATTACCGTATATACATGAAATATTCACTGAATGAATATATATTATCATTTTATATACACGGTAAACATTTCAAAATATTTTGATTTGTTTTGAACAGCGTTTACATACATTTTTAGTTTCCAATTTGTCCAGTTTGTACTATTTGAATTTTGAGGTAGATAAAAATGTATACATATCACATAATTTGTTTTTATTAAACACATGTAGTTAGCAGTCATAAATAATAATAATAGTAATAATAGTTATAATAATAAATCCTTGATCTGTACAGGCTTCACAAATTTTTAACGTATGCACAACATACAAATTATTATAAATTCTAATAGATAAACAATAAAATTGTATTAAATAGTATCCAATTTTACGATTTCATTGTTTCAGTTAACAATAATAATTAAAATATGCAGTATAAACCTACACAAAGGAGTTTAAGACATAAGACATATTACACACAATGTAAAATTTACATTTACACTAAAGTAATAAATATATTTCCTGGTTTATTTATACCGTACAAAGTGTCAGCCATCGATTTCTATCAATTTATTTTCACTGTACAAAATGTCCGAGGTATTCAACTCAAACAATAAAGATACCTAGAACAAATATTATCTGTTTACCGGGCCAGTGGGGCCCCTGCTCAGGGCCTCACACATTATTTATATCAAATTTTAGCCCTCGAGTTATAAGAAAACATATTTTAGAGGCCTCACATAAAAAAATTGTTCCAAGCGACGCTCCGCCTTAAAGGCCAAAATAATTATCATAATAGACATAATATATATAATTATTATAATACATATTATACTACCAAAAAAATTATCAAAATATATTAATATTGAATATACATAGTGTCATAGTACATTATACCATTGTAATATAAAATAATGTAGATTATGTAAATATGTAATGTTAAACATAAACGCGTGGACCTATAGGCTATTATGTTATGGTTTGCAGTTTTGCACGTACTAATAAGTAATTTTTATTTTTTAGTGATGACCTAAAAATGTGTTTTTTTCTCTTTCAAAACTATCTGTAGCATCTGGTGTTCACTCGAATTCATTAAAATGGATGCATAACATAAAAAATTAAAATAAACATTGCTTTTAGGCTATATACCTACGCAAACGGCTTTTATCTTCAAAAGATCTAAAAGCTATAAAACAACCCCTGTGAAAAACTCTATTTCGGGATTTATTTGTTGTGTCAAACTGTTTTCCACGTAAAAATATTAATACCTGAGGTGAACGTTCTGACGCATTATCCGATAGCAGATTTCTAGGTCAAGCTCAAGATACATAGAAATGTTCTTAAGAGGAACCGCGGCTATAATTATATAAGCTATGCACTTCCCAACAGCGCTTTTACTTCTGACTACTTTGCCATCACTTTTTTGATAGGGGAATTTGCTCTTTGTATAATAATAATATATAATATTATATACTATATAGACATATAGTACCAAACACGATATTTAAAAGTTCAAACAGATTTCATATCCGCTTCGGCGATTCCACTAAGAATTTAATAATTATTTTTGAAACAAATTTACATATAGGTACAGCTTAAAATCAGCTAATTTTTCAGTTTTTTTAATTCTAATCAAAACTAATTTAAGGTACCTACTGGAACCCAAAAATATTAGAAAAATGTAAGCTCCTTTTACATTGCAAAATGTTTAAAAAAAAAAATTATTATTTTAAAAATCGTGATAGTCCCCTTAAAAAATTTAAAACTACATATTGATTTTAGATTCTAAATGGAGTAATGAATGTATTGATTTTACAATGATGTGTGTTAGATTCTGAGCGAAGCAAGGAACCTAGTGGTTTTACAATGGTGTTGATTTTTTTTTTTTATCCTGTATTTTATACAAAATTTCTACCAGAAGGAATGTTTCAATTTCACCTTATAGTATCTTATATTTTAGAAAATTGGATCAATATGGTAACTTTTGAGAGATCATTTTCCGATTTTCTCAATAAGTATTTGATGCCACGGGAAAAACAACATACAAATTACGAAAAACCGCTTAATATGGGATTTTAATTTATAATGCTTTCTTTATATTATAATATTAATTCAACTTACAGGATATAATATATTATAATAACAATATAAAATGTACAGGCTGACAAACCGTCTCCACTCAGAATTGTTTTTCTTATACAATGATATTATATTATTGAATTCAAGTTTAATACAATCCATTATACATTGACCCACTTGTACTGTACAGCAGAGCGACATCCACTTAACCACATTTTATTTTTTTGTGTCTGTCACCACCTTTTGAGCATTAAAAATGCTTTGATTTTCTTCAATAGCATATCTTTTGTGGTAGGCAAGTGGATCCACTTGGTATTTTGTGGAGTCAAAAGTAAAAATTACCATAAGTTTTCAAAAGCTTCAGGAAAAACAAAAACACAAAATTAAGTAAAAACTGAGATTTCAAAACCAGTTTTTGAATCAATAGATTTTTTTTTATTGTAACCCTAAAAAAATAACCTTAGATGCATGACATTTTCAAAGAATGTTTATACTAGCGATTTCTATGCAACATACAATTTTCAAAATATTTAAATACACTTTCATATTTTTTAGTTTTATATTCTATAAATATCAATAAAATTGTATTCATTGTGCTCAAAAAGTTTGAAAATTTTAAAGATGGTTTCTTATAAGTTGTTTTAATAACAGTTGATATTTTGATAAATATTAAAGATCCATAAGCATGATTTTTTTTTATACATTTTTAAAGTTCAAATGTTGAAAAAATGTATCAAAATCTCGAAAATTATCAATTATTGTTACTAAAAATTATAAAATGTTCAATTTTTATAGCTAAGGATTGATATTAAGTTAAAACAATGGTTCTCGTAAATAGTTCATACTGTAACCAAAAAATCTAAAAATATATGAACAAAGTTATTTTTTACAGACATTTTAAATTCAAATTTGGACGGAATTACATATTAATACCAAGAATAACGATTTAGTTATTTTGTAGTAATTTGAAAATATTATTCGGGTATATGAAACTTTTAGTGTAGGTACTTATTATATTTTATACACACAATGATATTTTCAAATGTAGGCAATTCTTTTGACAAAAATTAATTTAACCTACTGTATTATTAGTAGGCACTAAAATAAATTATCCTGATAACATTAATAATATCATAAAATATACTTATTAATACTGTTTTCGCTCGGAATCGTTTTTCGTATACATTTCAAATTTAACACCATCCATTACAGTTACCGTTACAGCCACTTGTGACCTACTGTACATCTGCATAGCCTGGCCCCTGGGTTAGGTATTTTAATTTAGTACTTTCACCACTGGAGTGTTCGACGATCACAGCATCGTTGGATAGCAGTATAGCACTAGACTCAGGGGTGGACCCAGGGGGGGGGATTGGGAGGTCAGCTGACCCACAGTTGTTTTCCCAGTTAAATGTGGCCCCTCGAAATGGCAAACTATATAAACATTTTTTTATTTGAAAAAATTATGTACAGTGGTGAATTTAGAGGAGAGGCACGTGCCCCTTGTCAATTTTCTGTCGACAAGTTGTTATGTAACTACGAGTATCATATAAATGAAACATTCAGTTGATAAGGATAATACTACCAACTATTAATTATTACTTATTATAATCATTATTGATAGTATGTATGTATTATTAATTAAAATTAAAATTATACAATTTATATGTGCCCCCCCCCCTTCAAAATATCGAAGATCTGCTATTATGATATAGGGGTATATCGTATAATATACAGCTGTGAAGACTGAGTATTGAAGTAAAATAAAGCGTACGAAATCGTGTTTAAGCTTAAGCTTATC